TGTGGTGGCTTCTTCTCTGGAAATATGCTTTGCTCTGTGGATAGAAATCCTTTTCTAGCCTTTTTCTCTCTTTCTCTCTCTCTCTCTCTCTCTCTCTCTCTCTCTCTCTCTCTCTCTCTCTCTCTCTCTCTCTCTCTCTCTCTCTCTCTCTCTCTCTCTCTCTTGCTCCTCTCTCTTGCTCTCTTCTTGCTCTCTCTCTGCTCTCTCTCTTGCTCTCTTGCTCTCTCTTGCTCTCTTGCTCTCTTGCTCTCTCTCTCTCTCTCGTCTCTCTCTCTCTCTATCTCTCTCTCTCTCTCTCTCTCTCTTCTCTCTCTCTCTCTCTCTCTCTCTCTCTCTCTCTCTCTCTCTCTCTCTTCTCTCTCTCTCTCTATATATATATATATATATATATATATATATATATATATATATATATATATATGTATATATATATATGTTATATATATATATGTATATATATATATGTATATATTATATATGTATATATATATATGTATATATATATATATGTATATATATATATGTATATATATATATATATGTATATATATATATATGTATATATATATATATGTATATATATATATGTATATATATATATATATATATGTATATATATATATATATGTATATATATATATATGTATATATATATATATGTATATATATATGTATATATATATATGTATATATATATATATATATATATATATATATATATATATATGTATATATATATATATGTATAATTTTCTTTTTCCTTCTCTTTCTTTTCTTCTAGAAACCATATGCACCTCTCTTTCTTTACCTGGCTATTTTTATAAACCATATGAAACATAATAGCTTTCCACTAATCAAGCTCAGTTTGGACCATAATGTACTATCAGCCAAGCATATGAAAGATAGTGAAACATATCATATAGTTAGCTTCAGCTTTGGCAGGAACCATTTACCAAAAGAAATTCCCCATATGTTTGTCTTGAATATATTTTGGAAAAGCTTTAGATCTTCAAATAGTTTTTATGTTATCAGATTTGTGCCTTTCATCCAAAGGATATAATTCCTTATATTCCAGTAATTATTGAAATTTCAATCTTGCAATCATTTGCTTAATTTCCCCTTTCCTTGAGTTTTAATTTAAAAAAAATATTATGCTATTGGTATAAGTCTTTTTATTATTATTATAGACATTATGATTATTATAATGTTATTGATAATACTTAGAGCAGTATAGAATAGGTTTTTACTTTTTATTAAGGCAAAGGGTAAACAGGTCAGAGAGATTGGACAGCAGTAAACTCCTTGGTGACCACATTTTATAGCCCTTACTGTGTAACCACAATTGATAAATCGAACTCACAGAAAGCATAGCATATACATCCCATCCCCGACAGCATTGGGTTAAGATCAGTTTGATGTATTTCATGCGTTTTAATGTATAATCCAGGTTCAAGGCCCTGAGTTGATATTAAACACTTAACCCATTGCTGCCGGGGAAAATGAATAAAAAATGGGGAAAATGCTGTACTCATATTTTATATTTCTATGAAATATCTCTGTACATAGATGTCCTGATTTCACCTTTCCTTGAATTGGCGGGAAAAAATGTATTCTTACTAGTGCTATAAATATAGATGGTGTTATTTTTAACAGCAAATTAGGATAATGTTAAATATTTTCATAAATCGATGAAAAGGGTGAACGGGCGAGACAGGCAGTACTCATAACTGGCTCAATGGTGACTTAGTACAAGTATAGCTATCTATGTGTAAAAACAATCAAACAAGTCGAATAGTGGGGTTTACTATGACAGTTGGTGAGAAAGGCATGAAAGTAATTGCTAATTTCAGCAATGATAAAAGTATTATTTATCATTAATTTCTGATAGTTTGTAATAACTGTACCCCACAGCTTATACCATATATTTACTTTGTTTATTAGTTTATTTTATCTGTCCGTGATTCAGTGTTGGTAGTCATGGTATTATGAATGTTACCTTTATTACTATCATCACCAAACATTTTGTTGATTGTGAACTTTCTGTTTCAGTGGGAATCTGAAGTGATGTTCTTCATGATTGTCATCATTGCCTTCAGAACACGCAAGAGTGGGAGCAGGACCATGCTTGCATATATCTCTGTCGCGTCCACATATGCTAAGCTTTGCAACATTCTCCTGTGGTTCAGTGCTGATCCTGTGTATGGCATTCTGTATCTTGTGTTTGCCATCAGTGAGTATTCAGTACTTATGGTTTTCTGAGTTGTTCAGTTGTTAAATGTGGGTGTAGTATGCCCAAGTATTATTATATTTGTATTGGCATGGTTTTGTGTACTAGGGGTTTAAATGATATCAAGAAAGTTTCTTATATTTTTAATTTTTTCCAGCTCATTTCCTTCTGGTTGGAGAACCTGTATATCAGGGCCCAGAGAATCTGACGTACTTCCAAGGCAAGGAGTTGGATGAGGAGCTGCAGCGAGACAAGAGTACAGTGTGGCTTATCACCTTCTACACTGCATGGAGCCCTGCTTGTTCGAGTCTGGCTCCCATATTTGCAAAGCTCTCGGCCCAGTATGTTATTTTAGTATATGGTGTAGTAAGATGGCTTGGCTAGATATGTGAAAGTTTTTGTAAGAGAATTTCATTTTTTTGTTAAATGGATTATTTTTCACAAGTGGGACTACAAGAATTTTGCATAAAGTAAAATAGGATAATATTCATGAGTTTGAAAGGCAAATTTCATTCGGAATCTAGTGTTCAGTTCAGAGAGTATTATATTAAGTTTAAAAATATGAAAAGTCAAGTGGACTTTTCATTCTCTAAAACATGGATAATTTTGTGATCAAAATTTTTCTTCTTGCATATTTAAAAAAATAATAATAATAAGGCTAAAGTGATATTACTAATTGTATTAACTAATTCTAAGGAAAAAAAAAAAGATGAGGAAGAATGTATCAACAATCTCTTCCACACAGGTACGCCCTGGACAACCTGAAATTTGGCAAGATAGATGTTGGGCGTTACCCTGATGCAGCAAAGAAGTACCACATCAACGATTCAGCGTTTTCACTTCAGCTTCCAACAATTTCAATCTTCAAGAAGGGGGCTGAGGTTGAAAGACGGCCTTGCTTGGATGCCAATGCCAAGTTTCAGAAATTTTACTTCACTGAGGTTGGTTATTTTTCTTTCTTTCTTCCTTTTCTTCTTCTTGAATTTTCTTGTTTCCTTGTGTTAAGCCCTTTATCATATTAGATTGTATAAGTCGTATAGCCATTATATTGGTTGGATTAGGGATTGTTGCAGACAATCTCTGTTATATATATATATACCTCTCTCTTCTGTTATTTATCAAGAGGGTAAAGAAGCATAGTAATAATTTGCTATGAATTTGGCATTCACTTGGCACATGAGTGAAACCTTCTATAAAGAAGTATTGATGGAACTGATTGTAAACTGTCCATTATATTAATGGTTCCCAACCCTCTCTCAAACATGTATTATATCTGCAAAACCTTAACATAAGTTTTGGCTAAGAAAAGGAAAGAAAAAGTTGTATGTACAAGTTTTAGTTAGATAATTTTAATACAATTTTAATTTTCTGCCGCCTAAACATGTACGTTCATTAGCAGCGTATTCAAAATATAGTGATAGCATGAGGCTTGGGGGCAAAGTGCTATATGACATCAAAGGTCATATGGCATTGTGGTATAGTAGAGTAGCAAAAAGGGTTAGGAATGAGTTAATGATAATGGTAAAGTTACAGGTTGAACAGTACTAGAGGGTAGTATGGTAGTGTAAAGGGTAGAGATGGGGAGCTAATGGGACATAACATAACATGGGAGGAGTTAAGGGAGTAGGGAACATTATGATAAAGTATTATGGCGAGAAGAGCAAAAATGTGTTTAATGATTAGGATGAGTGGACAGAATAAGGAAAAGGAAAGGAGGAGAAGATAAGACCCTTCAAAATTAGCCAAGGCTGAGATCCAAGGTTGGGGTAATCCCCCACATTGGGCCTCAGTCCCCGTTTCTTAAGCCCCTACGACAATAATTAGCAAGGGATTGGGGGGAGGCAGCATGTACATACATGCCATGCCCACTGTGAGTTAGGTTTATTAATTGTATTTACACCTAGATGGCTCCATAAGCATTAAATCACCAATGAGTCAGTTACGAATACTACCTATCCCACCTGTTCACCCTTTTATTTGATCTTTAGAAATATTTTATGATACCTTATATTGCTGTACACTACATTTTCCTGGTGACATGGAATTAATATGGGTGTTGAAGAATGCATAGCATATTGATGATGATGATGATGATGATGATGATGATGATGATGATGATGATGATGATGATGATGATGATGATGATGATGATGATGATGATGATGATGATGATGATGATGATGATGATGATGATGATGATGATGATGATAAAATCCTCCCCAAGGCTCCATGATGATCCCCATGCAAGCTCTTCATGACCACCTTGGAGATCTTGGCCCACTGGTTGGAGCCACTGCTTTTTACAAATAGGTGTAGATATTTTGAGATATTGGTGAATATAGATATTTCTTTTACTGATTTTGCTCTCTCTCTTTTTTCCAGGATAATATTAAGGCTTCCTTTGATCTGAACAATTTGTACCTCCAGTGTAAGAAGGACCTAGAGGTGAAGAAAGGGAAGAAGGAAGCTCATGTTAAAGCGGAGTAAAGCAGAAAGAAAAACATGTGATATGTTTGAAGAAGTTGTACATTATTTTACCTTAGATTTTTTTTTTTTTTTAAACAAGGTAATGAATCTGTTGTTTATGTTGTAGCATAAAAATTATAAGTGAAGTCCTTTGCTCCTTTTAAGAAGTAAGATCACAAAAGAGTTTAGTTCCTAGCCTTTTTTCATAGAGATATGTAATTGTTTTACTGGTCAGCACACTACACTTAAATACTTTTATTGTTGTACCCACCATCTCTTTATTTTTCTTATAACAGATATGGAAGTTTTTCATATACCAAGCTTGATGTAATGATGGCAACAATCAGATTATATATATATTTATTCATCAGTGATCTATAACTTATTGAGCAGTCACTGAATTCTCCCAAACATTTGAGTAAAGCAAGGGACGTATTGTGAGTTATATTCCTACATAAAATAAGATTATCCCTTATTGAAACATAGTATGTGCAATTTGTTAGTTTTCCATATTGCCCCATTATAATCAACTTACCAAAGTTCAGTGTATGAAGTTACATATCCTGTATTGTTCCCATGTGTCAGAGTTGCATGAATCCAAAAGCTTTTGAAAGGTTGTATGATTGAAATTCCACATGTAAAAAGTTGTTCTCATTTAAATCATTGTTGTGAAGGGAGTGTGCATTGAGTATCATGTAACTCTAGTTGTACTTCATTTTCATGCTCAAATATTAGAAACTTCAGAAGAAATAGTTTTCAGAACCTGTAGTATTATGATGGCTATTTTTTTTTTTTTTTAGTATAGTATAGTACATGCCTGTTCATCACATACTCCTAATGTACTATATGATAAAATAGTCATTTAATGCATACTGGTTTACTAACTGTAAACATGAGGTGTACTGTACTATCTTACGTCCAATAAGCTGTATCTTACTACCGGTTATTTTAATAATTTGCTTGTAAACAGTGCATACACAGCTTTGTCGTGAAAGGTCAAGGCATATCATTGTTATTCACACCTTTCCCCTGCATGTAGCTTGTTGATCAAAAGGTAGGAGTATGATATATATAAATTTTGAAAAAGACAAGCTATTTGCCTTTCATCAGCACATCTCTAAGTTTTGTTACAAGTTGTATATAAGATTTATCAAGATGATTTTCCATGTTAGTGCTTATTTGCAGATATGGTTAATTTATCTCATGAGCTTTTGTAATAAAGATTATTTGTGCCATTTTCCTTTTAATCCATACATAGGTTAAGTTATTTATCTTTGTAAGTCTCCGTATTGATGACTATCCAGTGTCATGCTACTATGTATTGTGCTGCAGATTTTTTTTTTTCTCTCTTTTTTTTTTCTTCTTTTTTTCATTTACTCAATCAGTTATATCCAGTTAAAGAAGCTTTCACAGTCAGACTTTTTGCTTGCATCCATGAGCTAACCAGCAAAGTGGTCTAGCTTGAGCTTGAATTAATGGTAAATGTTTAAAAGTCAGAACAAATGTTCTAGACATCAAAAGGAGCTTAATTAGCTCATTGGAGTGACTGGATTTGTAAAGCCCTGTCCACATGATTAAGCACAACCCAACAGGCATTAAACTCACTCAACACAGTGCTGACAGGCATGACGTGTATGTACGTGCTATGCCCACTGTGAGTTACTCGATTGTTTTTACACCTAGATGGCTAAACTTGTTCTAAGTCACCAGTGAGCCAATTACAAGTACTGTCTGTCTTGCCCATTTACCCTTTTCTTTGATTTACAAAGACATTTTACGTGATCTTATTTAGTTGTTACTAATGTTTATAATAAAAATAACACCATTGATATTCATAGCACTAGTAAAAAATACATTTTTCCCGCCAATTCAAATCACGAAAGGTCAAAAGGTCTACTAATTGACTCCTTCGTGGCTAAGCACTAGCAGAGCCATCTATGTGCAGAGACATTTCACAAAAAATATAGAAAATGAGCACAGCATTTTCCCCATTTTTTATTCATTTTCCCCAGTGGCATTGGATTAATGCCTGTTGTTTTGGGCAGAATTGAAGGGCAAACCAAGGAAGTACCTCTGCCCATGGTAAAGTGAAATAACCAAATTAAGCCAAAAGCTTGGTAGCTTGAAAACTTATTATTATTATTTATTGATTTTTTTTTCTATAGTATCATCATCTATGGTTATTAGCAGTGTATTCAAAATATAGTGATAGGGTGGAAGTTTTTTGGTTCAATAAGGCAATATTTGTGGTTTTCCAGAATGGTTAATGGTCAAAACAAACTAATGTGCCAGATATCAAAGGTCATACAGCATTATGACAAAGTATTGTGGCAAAAAGGTTAAAAATGAGTTAATAATTGGATTAATGGAGAGGGAAAAGGAAAAAGAGGCAAAAAAAAGACCATGCGTAATCAGTTGAGGCGAGGGCTGAGGACAAAGGTAGGGGTGATCCCGTACATTGAGCCCCATGAGAAGCAGCAGCAAGGGATTGGGGGGATACTCTTTTCCAGATAAATAGGCAGTCTGCTAGGAACTGCTCGAGTGTGTGGATGGGCTGTAAGTCTCTGCCAGGCACGTGGGGATGTGACTATTGTTATCAGTTACTCCAGTGACCTTAAATAGCCATGTCATGGAATGTAGTAGTTGCTTTATTCCTAGGTTGCAAAGTTTGATTTGTTTGTTATCCAAAGCAAACACAACCAATCCAATTAAGAGCAAATGGCTCTCCTTACCTACATTTCCTCTTTAAATAAGCTTCATATCAATTTCAGTTGTATTGGCAAAGTTATTGTATATGGTCTCCCTTCATTACCTTGGTGTTATTAGTGGGAGAGTGATTTACATATATCAGGAAATTCACAATATCAACACCATGAATGCAGATGACAAACCTATAGCGGACTGCATTGTTACTAGAACCCCTTTCACCCAATGGCAACATACCATGTGCCATAAGTCAGAGGGCGCTTATCCTTTTCTAGTAGTAGTGACATTTGTTTGGTGTTGCTACTAGATACAGGCACCTGCAGTGACAGGAAACTCTTTCCACCCCAACTTGTATAAAAGCTACAGCTACAGAGCAATCAGTGCCTACTACTGTGCTTGAAATACCAAATGAGTTGGGCAGACCTGGCAATACTGGCATCTGCATTTGTTGGATTAAACTACTATACAAAATAAACATTTTGCCAATAGTGTTTTCACAACTGATAGACAAACATTCACGATTCATAATTTATGAACTTTTTTTCAGTGCATGTGAACCCCTACTTACCATCACAGGAATGACAGTTGGACATTAGGTTTATATAGTTTTATATAGGCGAGACCGGTAGAGCTTTCGAGAAAAGAATTAATGAACATAAACGCAATGTTAGATAGATATGCTAGAGATTCAAATGCGTGTATCGTTCATGTGCGGGATGAAGGTCACCAGCTTAACTGGAAAAATGCTAAATTGATTCACAAATCAGCTAATTCGTATGAAAGGAAAATGTTGGATTATTTATTAATTAGAAAAATGCCTTTGACTTGAGTGCTGGACAATGGGGCTTGGATGACCTTACCTCTTCGCTTGTTAGCAGAGCCTTTCTTAGACTCTTCGACCTTGACCCTCCTCCTGAGACCTGATTCTCCTCTTGCTCAGTCTGTCTCTCGACCACTATATATTCTTCTCAAAATTCTCTCCTATCCACTTTTGGTTTTTCAGTTGTCTGAAGAGGAACTCGTGAAGAGTTCGAAACGTTACATTTCAATTTCGTTTCTTACTGTGGCAGTTTTCCTTTCATTTGTGTGTTCACGTTACTGTGTTTGTGTCACATATATATGTATATTTTTATATATATATACATATATACATACATATATATATATATATATATATATTTGTGTGTGTGTGTGAGTGTGAGTGTGAGTGTGAGTGTGAGTGTGAGTGTGAGTGTGTGTGTGTGCGTGTCCGTGCGTGCATCCGTATGTGTGTGTGTGTCAATGCGTGCATCCGTATGTGTGTGTGTGTCTGTGTGTGTGTCCTTGCATGCGTGCATCCGTGTGTGTGTGTGTGTGTGTGTGTGTGTGTGTGTGTGTGTGTGTGTGTGTGTGTGTGTGTGTGTGTGTGTGTGTGTGTGGTGTGTGTGTGTGTGTGTGTGTGTGTGTGTGTGTGTGTGTGTGTGTGTGTGTGTGTGTGTGTGTGTGTGTGTGTGTGTGTTAACTGTGAGATTACTTGTTGGATTGTTTTCATAAGCTACACTTGTACTAAATCACCTATGAGCCAGTTACGAGTACCGCCTGTCTCGCCCGTTCACCCTTTTCTTTTATTTACGAAATATTTTACGTTATCTTATTTTGCTGTCACTAATGTTAAAAAAACATTATAATAATTATAATATTGTGAAATGTTTCTGCAACGCATAGCCACAAAAGAGTCAATAAGTAGATCTAATTTCACCTTTCATTGAATTGACGAGAAAAACGCATTTTATACTAGTGCTATAAATATCGATGGTGTTATTCTTATTATAAATATAATTACTATGCTATAAACATTTGTAACAGCAAAATAAGATAACGTAAAATATGTTCGTAAATCAATGAAAAGGGTGAACAGCCGAGATAGGCAGTACTCGTATCATTGTTTTTTCTATTATCGTTATTGTTACTGCTACTGGTATAATAATAATTATCATCATCATTATCAGTGTCATTGTCAACATTAATACGGTCATTACTATTAGTGTTATAATTATTATTACCATTTTAAAAAAAATATTATCATTATTATTATAACAGTTTAAAACAGAATAAGTTTGTTGAAATCAGAAGATCGTCTACAGACATCGTTTGCAAGCGTTAACTTTCCTGATATAACTATGGGATAGTTGTATGGGTCATACTTTCAGAATACGACCGAGCCAAAGTAAGTAACTCATTTTGTTACGATTTCCTTCCTACGGTCGCCTGGCTATAGTTGCCTACCGAAAGACGACAAGTCAGTAAGTGCTCTGTGTGTGTGTGTGTGTGTGTGTGTGTGTGTGTGTGTGTGTGTGTGTGTGTGTGTGTGTGTGTGTGTGTGTGTGTGTGTGTGTGTGTGTGTGTGTTTATATATCTATCTATCTATCTATCTATCTATCTATCTATCTATATACATATCTATATACATTATATATATATATATATGTATGTATATATATATGTATGTATATATATATATATATATATATATATATATATATATATATATATATATATATATATATTATATATACATACATACATAAGGGGAGGGAGGAGGGGTTATGCAATATCACAGCTGCACGACCAAAAAAGAAGAAAAAAAAACGCTCACATGTTTTTTCCTATATTTTTCATGCCCTCCTTGAATCAGTAATAACAAATCTATTCCGGTGAGACTGCTTTGGGGAGGAAAGCGGGAATATCACTTCAACACGGCTGGAATGACAAATAATCTAATGACATTTGTTCTTTTTTTCCCTATAGTTTCTAATGCATACTGTAATAATGATAAAAAAAATCTAGGAAATAGTTTACATCCCGCAAAATTGTACATGGTACGACGTCCATCAACATATTTTAGAGAGAGCGGGTTTGAAAAGATTGAATAAAACAGATGGATTAATGGTAGTGAGAAATAATATATATAGATATGAGAACCGCAATCATCGATACATATTCGAATTCAAGAAGATATGAATATGTTGTCAAATATTATGATAATTTCATCTATCTGGGGAAATGACCGAATTCACCAGCAAATATCCTAAAATCTTTCTTAAGCATTAAAAAGATCTTATTACTCGTATCTATATCAGTTCACAACAAACATTTATGCTATGGATTTTTTTCTTTTTTTTATAGCAAATGAGAATCACTAAATATCCTTAAAAGGTGTATATGTAGACGTCCATCGGAGGGGGAGGGAGAGAGAGAGAGAGAGAGAGAGAGAGAGAGAGAGAGAGAGAGAGAGAGAGAGAGAGAGAGAGAGAGAGAGAGAGAGAGAGAGAGAGAGAGAGAGAGAGAGAGAGAGAACATCTTATTTCCAAGAGACGGGAATAACTTTCCTTTTTATAATTAATCTCACATTTCCTCCTCCCTGCTCTGACTCCTGCCAATTTTCCTTTTCCTTCTCAAAACTTCCAACTTCTTTCAACATCTCTCCTCCCTTCTCTCAACCCTTCCCTTTCAACTCTCTCTGTCTCTCTGTCTCTCTCGCTCTCCCGCTCTCACTCTCTCTCTTCATCAATCTCATCTCGACAGCCTCCAATAGGTTATAAATCTCAAGATGACCATGCATTTTGGGAAAGATATATGGATCCGAGGTTATTTTTTCACAGCATTTCCCTGAAAATATCACCCATTAAGCTTGCCGATCCGCCAAATGCATTTAATTATTCCGGGTGAGAGATGTTAATTGCTTGTTCTTCGGTGCGTGTCTTTCCTGATAATTGTTTCTACGCCGTAAGTTAGCAAGATGTGTTTCACGCCACGTAAATTGTCCCCATTTTTTTTTTTTTTTAAATATTCATTTATAATGTTTGACAGTGGAGGTATTTATAGATTGTTTGTGTAAAGGTATATGATTATGGAATTCATTATGTATAAATGACACTATAGTTTTTTGAGGCTATACAGGTCCAAAGTTCTTCTCAGACCAATTGTCCGTTTAACAAACGTTTAGCGTTAAAATGCACTTTGTCTTATTATTGTCGTGTATTAACATCAACATAGCGATGCTTGTATTATACATGAAAACTCAAACAAAACATTTATTGAACCTGTAGTTAGTCTGAGAACACAAATGGACGCAAAAAATTACATTTGATATATTTGATATACGTTAGCATTATCTATGTTCACTGTGCATTTAGCAATACAAAATTGAAAAATATAATATTCGCTAATAGGAACACTGGACATTCCCTTAAGACGGTAGATGCTTTAAAATGCTAAAAAAGAGTTCCGGTCTCACTTCTGTGTATACTTCTAAGGTAAATCCCTCTCTACCGGGGAGAGTCCATCACATGGTGTATCTGCTCACCCCTGAACTTGAAGATATCTCAAAAAGCTAAGAACATTTTTTTTCTGTGCCGTACCAGAGCCTGACGTTGGCGACCATGTTTAATTTCATGTTTGTACAAGGGAGTGTGCAAAGGTGTTTTTTGTTGCCTTCCTTCGGGTGATTGAAGAGTTCACCCTCTCTCTTACCAGTGGATCCTCTGCTTGCATTTCTGCAACCAATGTTATAGCTCTTCTGCTGATCGTGCTGTCTCTGCACCGCGATTGGATGCCCTTCCTAATCAACCGCGGTTCGGTGCTATTAACGCCTTTGTCACCAATTACCATACCAGCAACACGCACCTTACTCCTATCTTCTAGACTAAGTGCTCCGGTGAAAACCCCTTTTAGCTTACCGCTACCAACGTTTAATGTAGCACTACCAAGATCAAGCCTTCGATTACTCCCACTTCTTGGCATCCTCATTGTCTTTCTTTCCTTCTACATCTATCGTAAGGTCACCATTCGTCGCCTTGGTGAACAGATTGAACCAGGTAATAACTAGCCCCTCCCCCCCACACCACCTGAGAGACTGGCCATGCACAGGTTTGGACTTGGTCAACTGGTTGCGAATGGCACAGACAGTGGCACTTGACGCGTCCTCTACTACTCAGACCCGACCTGAACAGCAGCCTATTAATAATTTCTTTATTTCCACATTTTTTTCCTTTGTGCATCACTTGTCACTATAGTCTTTCTTTTAACCCTGAATAAAATCCAGCTCTAGGTGGATATATATATAAGGTATGGGCATAAAGGGTAATACAAACACAGTTTTCTATAAAAAGGTTCATGTATTATTGAGACCTGACACAGGAAAACTGCAGAATAATATAAAAATCACACAGGACATAGGTACATGTTCAAGTACATGAGACCATCATTCATTCTTACATTCAATCTGTATATATACACATTCATATCATGATTTAACAACATTCTGCTGTTGCAGTAGATATTGTAAAACATTTTGGCATGAAACTACATTTTACTGCTAAATGATACAAATGATCACTTGATCTATTGCTAATAATTTCAAGGAGACTTATTCTTTTCTCATCACTCAAGATATATCCAATTTTTGTGTAACATTCAGAGTGGCAAATGTGGGAGGCTGGTGTCTGCACCTCTATGATCATGAATTTCTTCTTAAAAAAAAAAAAAAAGGAAACATACTGACAATATCAAAAGTTTGATATCTACATAAATAATGTTAAACTTAGTGAGCAAATACAATGTATGGCATTAAAAGAATGATCACATACTTAACATCCATTAAGAGCAGCTGTGAGCAGCAGCATATACCAAAAATTTCCAGGGTCAAAACAGCATCTCGGACAATTGAGTGACCTTGGAGTTCACTTGACCCGTGATGGGAAAATAACTCTTAAAAGCAGTTGTAGAACAGGTAAAAAAATTTACCAAAACAATAATAAAATAACATTACTTCTAGTCCTTCATGAAATAAAACAGAAGAATATCCATCACAATATTCAATTCCATATATATATATTACAAAAAGTTAACTAAATATAGTACACTGCAATACTATCCATATCTTACATTTTGAGTAATAGAAACACAAATGAAGGAAGGATTCCTGAACTAATATGAAGATTTTTTCAGAGAAGAAAAACGAACAAACAAAGAAACCTTAAAAGCAAACACAGACTGATACTCAGTGTGATTATCAAAAAAAGCTGGGAGAAAGTAATCAGCAAGAAGTTACAAAATCCACATATCATCTGCTGATACAAAAAAAAATAAAATAAAAAAAAAAAAAAAAAAAAAAAAAAAAAAAAAGGAAACATACTGACAATATCAAAAGTTTGATATCTACATAAATAATGTTAAACTTAGTGAGCAAATACAATGTATGGCATTAAAAGAATGATCACATACTTAACATCCATTAAGAGCAGCTGTGAGCAGCAGCATATACCAAAAATTTCCAGGGTCAAAACAGCATCTCGGACAATTGAGTGACCTTGGAGTTCACTTGACCCGTGATGGGAAAATAACTCTTAAAAGCAGTTGTAGAACAGGTAAAAAAAATTTACCAAAACAATAATAAAATAACATTACTTCTAGTCCTTCATGAAATAAAACAGAAGAATATCCATCACAATATTCAATTTCCATATATATATATTACAAAAAGTTAACTAAATATAGTACACTGCAATACTATCCATATCTTACATTTTGAGTAATAGAACACAAATGAAGGAAAGGATTCCTTGAACAATATGAATGGAGGAAAACTGATATCTAAGGTTAAGCTCAGACAAGTGCAGGGATTTGATTTCACAGATAAACTCCCAGTTCTATAGCCTTTACTATTCTTTCATGATCATTAAATAAAAGTGACACGATTATACTATCAACAGTTAAACAGGCATGATAAATCAGTGAAACCATTCTTTGTTTCCACTACTTTATGTACATCAACTTTTTTCAGAGAAGAAAAACGAACAAACAAAGAAACCTTAAAAGCAAACACAGACTGATACTCAGTGTGATTATCAAAAAAAGCTGGGAGAAAGTAATCAGCAAGAAGTTACAAAATCCACATATCATCTGCTGATACAAAAAAAAATAAAATAAAAAAACAACAACAGCCCACTTGTGAGCTCCTTGTCTGCAGTGTCTAGCATAATATACACACACAATATCACTCTTAGTCGCAGCCAGTTCATTCATGTGGAGATGGTTGGAAACAACACAATATGGACAACTTTATACTGTTCTGCAAGATACAATCTCTGCACACAATGAGAGGATATGTTTTGTAAGATGGTAGAAAGGTCCTCGAAGTCTAAGCTATTACTGCTGACTTAGAATTTTTTTCTTGTTTTTAATTAAATATACATGGTAAGTTTCAATTCACATTTATAATAGGCTAAAGGGATTATTCAAACCATGTTAATCCCATAATATTTATCCCACTTAAAAAATAAATGTTGCAGTAATCCAATTGGCTTTACAGGGAGTGAGATGCAAAAGGACCTCTTTTTGCATGCACACTTTTCAGCAATATTCAAGTAATGACTCTGGGAATAACAAGGTTTTTTCTGTTTTACTTCTGTTGGAAATAACTAGCTGGAGGGTTTAATCTGTGCCTAACATACAATGAGTATCAAATATCACTTACTAAACTAAGTTAAGGATGTGCCTTCCATAAACAGTAGCATTTGACACTTATGATCATGATACCTAGGATTATTACAGTAATTATATTTCTGGATACAATCACTAAAAGCAATTGTGAGGAGAGTAATGATATACAATCACACAAGACATATGATAATTACGGCTCCCCTTTCTACCTCATAACAAAGGGAAACGAGCCTTCACAACATGTTAAATAAAAAGCGTAATATCACTAGTCTCGCCACAATCTCCACCCAGAACATTTCAACGAGCAGATTTTTCAAAATCTTGTAAAATGGAGTCCTTTACAAAATTGTCTAAAGGTAATCAGTGATAACATTAAATTGATTATAAAATTAGACAATAAAGAAAACAAAACAAACAAGCCTCAAGACTTTAACACTCTCAGAAGACAAACAGAACTTGGTGAGAATCAATGCCATGAATACATACACAGATATTCTCAACAATTTAGATCATCTGATGACCGGTGGATTCCAATAAAAAACAAAATCCTTTCTTCCTTTTTCTTCTTTTCTCTTTGTTTTCTTCGTATACTGAGCTGTACGTTCACTTGCTTGTCTCAATTGCAGTCTTCAAAATATGGTCCTGATTTTTCCTTGCACGCACATGCCCAGTAAGCACTCCAACTCAAGACCGAAAATGAGGTACTGTCTTTACACAGAGAGAAACAAAGGGGTAAAGGCTGCTTGCCACATCAATGTATAGGTAAGAACTGACATACTGAAGTACCAAGCAGCAACAGCAGTAGCTTCTTCTTCCAGTGGTAACCTTGTGGAATCAAAGCAATTACTTCATTCATAACAACACAGCGGGAGTCACAAAAGAGTCTAATATCTGAATACTTGTGGGAAGGGCCTATCGCATGAGGGTATCATCCTATCACTGCGGTCACAGATCCACCAACCTCATCATAACTCTAAATACTATGTAGCACTAGTCTTCCTTTAAGCAATTTTTTTTTCTTTTCTCTCTATGTGCAACTACAGTTTTAAGCTTGAAAATCTACGTACACTTAACAGGGAGACACAAATTGGCAGTTTGAATACAGTCATTCACAGATGATTAACGGGTATGAAATTCTCTTTGAATATAAGTCCTGCTACTTTTATTACATCTATAAATGTAGACAACAAACAACATCACCTTCATGGAGATATCATGTTGCAATAAATAGGTCTTTGTAACTCTGCTTCACTCCATTCTTCTAGTCGATGAAATAACAATGAAAAAAAAATCTACACACAAACACACCAAAAAGATAGAGAAACAGAAAAAAAAACAGGGCAAAGAATACTTTGTAATTTGTCAGTATGGAATGTTCTAAGACCATCCCTCAGAAAAGAAGAGTTATAAGTGTGACAGCTAAAATTCTGGCACACCAATCAATTTCATAAGGGGGGAGGCGGCGGGTCATACAATGAAATAACAATAATAATATAAAAAAAAAAAAAGGCTATGGGGGTAAAAGGGAAGAGGAGATTCAGAAACTGGGACATGGAAAATTCTGCTTGATGTGTGTGTGTGTGGGGGGTGGGGGGGAGGGAGGAGGGAGGAGGGCATAAATCAATTGTTCCTGTGACTTCCTCTAATTATTATCTTTTTTCTTCATTATTTTTTTGTTTTGTTTTGTTTTTTTCCTAGGGGATGTAATGTTTAGTCTCCTTCCGCTTAACATACTTTGGTACATCACCAGCCTCGGGATTTTTACTTTTCAGGTAACTTCTATGCATCACTGGAAAACAAAAATAGAATACAAATTTTAAAAAATATAAAGTGAAGGTAGAAATAGTAATTAGTTGCAAATAATTATAAACATGTATATAATATATATATATTTTTTTTTTCTAAAAATATAGCGTCACTACCAGGTGTACACTGATGCTTCAAAATTCACGAAAGTGAGTGTCTTCAAAATAATAAAATACATATATATGTAAAATTAGAAAAAAAAATCAGATGCAGTGCCACCATTAATAATCACCTATTTCTTCTTATTTCTATAAACAATAAAATGAGCATAAAAAAGTAATGCACAATATAATCAATACATGATCCAAGGCTTCATCTCATGTCGGAAAACAAAGACAACAAAAAGAAAAGAAAAGAAAAAGAAAAAATAAATGCCAAATAACAGCATTTCTGACGAAACTGACAATACAGCAAAAGACAGGAAGGGAGAGTCAGAGAGTGAGAGAGAGAGAGCATGAAGTTCCAGAACAGAACCTTGGATCATGACAACAATTCAACAATGTACTGTTCCATTACAGTGTTGCAAGCTGCAAGCAGATCTTGGTAATACCAGATAATAAAAGGGCTGACTTTCTATTGATTAAGGGGTAGAAAAAAAAGAAAAAAAAAAAGAAAAAAAAAAAAAGAATCCAACTAATATATCTAGTGAGTTTGACCTGCTCACAGCCAACTAACAAAACAAACAGCATATGCCAAAGGGTATTTTCATACAAATTCTGTTAGTTTACCTGTCCAGGTCTAGTCGGTTCGAGCAGTAGGTTAGTGCAGTTGGTCTTGCTCTGTGGTGGTCAATTAGATAAGTCAGGAGTCAGTGGTGATGTCATTTGAGAGAGATGAAAGGACTCAGAAGATGGACTGAGTGATCCGTCACAAGGAGAAAGGAGTCACACGGGGTTGACTTCCCACTTGACTAGAGTTTGATGCAAACTAACACTATCTGGGGCCTATTAGTCTACAACACTAATTAAGCATTTAAGTAATCAAAGACATGCAATAAATAATAAATACATAAATAAATATACAGAAACCAAAAGCAAGCTATACAACTTTTAAGCAGCTTCCAAGGACAGAATGCTTGTACAACTGCTATTGAGGAAGAAAACAAAGCTTCTATAGGATGTTAGACTCATATTAATTACTTGCATACACCTCTGTTAAGTACAGTTACAAAGAGTCTACATGGCAGCCATGTACAAAAGATAAAGTTACAGTAAATGTTGAGATCAGAGGACAAGGAGAAAGAGTGTCGTACAGCAGAGTGCAGATGGCCGGCCGAACGCTTGGCCACTACGCATCATATTCGTCCCGAGAGTAGGCTGGCGATATCTTCCAGCCGCCAAGATTGATGGTGCGCTGATTCGGATTCCAGGGGGTCGGGCCGTGCAGGAAGTTTGTGGGGCCCTGAGGCCCAGCCGGGGGGTTGCCAGGGGGGGGCGGGTGAACTTGCATCCCCCCGGCGGCTGGCCCTGTCCCAGGGGGGGGTCCCCCATAATACTGCGGTCTGCAATATCCAACACATCCAGCCCACCTCAAGAATGTGCCAGCCAAGAAGCAGCCCAACATTATGAAACCTTCACCCTTACATCCACTACGGTTGATAGATTTCACAAGAATCAGCTACACGGTAATATCCTTAGAAATGCTGAGATGCATTAAACATTATATTGACTTCATCATATATCACTATGCATAATCACTCTTCCTTTAGCCACTCATATACTTGGTACTTCCAAAAAGAAATCCACAACCTGAAAGCTATAAACCGCCATAAAATCTGTCTTAGACACCATTTGTCAATCTTTTCCTTTTGAAACTAGAGTCCTCCAAAGCTAATTAAAGAAAGGACACTTCTCTATAATGAACCCTTGCCCGACTCGATGTCCTCCTGCTCTCCCATTCCCACAATTTTTAGCATACTTCTCCAAACATTTGTTACTCTTCCTTTCCATTGTTACTTTTAACTTTTGCATTCGTAATTGTGCCTTATATTCCTTCCTAACAGACAATATTTCTCTCTGGGTATGTCTACCTACTCCTGTCTTCATTTCTTGAAGTTATTCACCTCATACACCTTGTATCTTAATTCTCACTCTTTCTAATGCTACAGAATCATAGGATAGATATTTTCCAATATACAGTCAATGATATTTTCAAACACCAAAATTTCAAGGTATACATTCTTTTACTAACTCTACCCTACTGTTGTAATTATCTAGAATCTAAAAAAAAATAAACAAATTCATAAATAATGAAACTGAAACCCAATTAAAAAAAAAAAAAAAAAGCCAAGGACACAACCACAGACACACATTACATGCCAATGCTTCCAATCACAATGAATAGTGTCCCCATGACTCAATTTTCTCTTTCTTCTAAAATGCAAATTATATATTGATGTCACTTGCAAAAGCTGATTCCTGTGAAAAATATCACATTTTAGGTCTTCCTCCCTGAGCAGCACTAACAAGATCTACATAAATTTTTGTCAATCAGTTTCCAATCCACAGTGAGTATTAGTTGACTAATCTACGATTTGAAAATAACAAAAATGGTTCATACAGATTAAAAGGTATGCAATTAAAAAAATAAATATATATATTAATTCTTTCATCATGAAGAATTGTGGATAGTATTATACATAAAAGTTACAAAGTTATTAATACCCTTTAGTTTATAATGTTAATCCTCATTCAAACAAGAAGTAAAATGATTAATAACTTGTCAACAGGTCATGTCATTTTGTACTTGTCTGTGTATAAGATGTTGCTTGAAAATTTCAATCAGCAATGGGAAAGGCTTTCCATAGGAATTTAATGTAACTGTAAAATGTATAGTAAACACGCTACATAAGCTGTTTTCATTGCTGGAAATACAAACAACATGTTATACAAATAATATAATGTCATAACTGTCATAAGCCTGCAAATCAAACTTATATATCATTATATTAGACATTGCCTACAAATGTAAATAAATATATGAAAGTTACAGCCATAAAAAGTTTTACATTCAGTCCAATATACAGTATATACAATGCAGATGCTATACAGTATCTCATAATCATCCTTTAGATTTAAAAAAAAATTGCTTCCTCTCAAAATCTGAACCAAGATGTAATAAAGTATATATTACCAGCCTGGAGAGATTCATTTTAAAAGCTGATTTCAGTTACATTCAATACCTGAACCTGTAGTCAATTGGTGTCTCATAATCAAGAAAATTTAATGAGAGAGCTGAAGCAGATCATTATCATATGCTGAAGCCAAATAACAAGATACAAAGCAAAGTGCAAAGTGCTTCAATCAGAAGGCAGAGACAGTGGGCTTGAGAATGAGACAGTCTGTGTGCTTAACATTTTTTTTCTTCCAATATTTCTTTTTCAAGTTAAATTTTAATATTCCAATCATGTGTCTATTTTTTTTTTTTTTTAAGAAAGACTGGAAATAGATACTACATACATGAATGTGCATTAGAAACTCGGTTCTTTTATCTCTAAGGGGTTTTTATCAAACCATAGGAAAAAGAGTAACATAACTTGTGATAGATTGAAAAGAGAAAATATACTTTTATTGCATTAGGCATTTGCCAACCATGAATCTCACCATGTGGTTCTATATACCCACATCAAACAAGGTAACTTGCCTAAACAAACCTTCATGGAATTGCCTCTTTCATGCCTCAGAACAATGGGACACTGGTTATAGTTATAAGCTGAGGGCACACATGGCACCATAGCCTCAATGTCATATGTTAAGGAAACAGATTTACAGATATACAAAATATTGAGAGGAGTGGGATGGTAGGAGGGGGTGAGTAGGAGGGAGGGGATGGGGGAAAGAGTGAGGGTTGAGGGGGAGGGGGAAAGGGAGAAGGGGGAGGGGGAAAGGGAGAAGGGGGAGGGAGAGAGGGAGGTAGGGAAGGGGGAAAGAGGGAAGGTTGAGGGGGAGGGAGGGAGGGAGGGGGTAAGTAGGAGGGGGTAAGTAGGAGGGAAGGGAGGGGGGAAAGAGGGAGGGAAGGGGGAAAGAGGGAGGGTTGAGGGGGAGGGGGAAAGAGAGGAGGGGAGGGAGGGAGGGAGGGAGGGAAGGAGAGAGGGAGGGAGGAATGGAGGGGAGGGAGGGAAAGAGGAAGTGAGGGAGAAGAAGGAAAAGGAGGACTAGGAATGGGAAGAGGAAAAGGAAGAGACAGGAATGAAGAGGAGGAAGAGAAACTAAAGGAGGAGGAGGAAATGTAAGAATAGGAGTAGGACTGGGAAGTGGAAAAGGAAGAGGGACAGGAGGGGGTGGGGGGGTGATGATGATGAAGAGGGGGGAGGAGGGGGAGGAGGGGAGGAGAAGAGGAGGGGAGGGGGGAGGGGGAAGGGGAGGGGAGGAGGAGAGGAGGGGAGGGGAGGGAGGAGGAGAGGAGGAGGAAGAGGAGGAGGAGGAGGAGGAGGAGGAGGAGGAGGAGGAGGAGGAGGAGGAGGAGGAGGAGGGGAGGAGGAGGAGGGAGGGGAGGAGGAGGAGGGGGAGGAGAGGAGGGGAGGGGGGAGGAGAGGAGGAGGAGGAGGAGGAGGAGGAGGAGGAGGAGGAGGAGGAGGAGGAGGAGGAGGAGGAGGAAGGATGGATGGAAGGAGTAGGGAGGGCAGGGAAGGGAAGGTGGGGTGAGGGTGAGGTGAAGGGATGGTAGAGATGGATGTGGGAAACCTGAGGAAAGGAAAGGCAGGGAAGAGGAACAAGGAGAGGAGAGACAAAGCAAAGATGAAGATACATATACAAATAAAGTGAAATAACAGGGTTGACTGTGTGTGGGTGTGTGTGCAAGAAAAGGGGACACATTAGTACCATCAGCAACCCTTTACAAAGCACATGTGAATGTCCCCGCACCATATCTATAAGCAGTGTCATTTCTGAACAAACATTTCTCAAATGAGCAGTAAGCTTATTCAGTTTAACATACTATTTCCACAGGAAAAGTATACAATGAAATTTTGGTAGTCAGCATTTTAATGTGACAAAAAACAAACAAAACAGAAAAATAAATAAAACATAATAATAAATGAGAACAGAAGTAAAGAATCACAAGCAGCCCAAAAACAAACCAAATGCCCTACTTTGCAATTCCATAACAGATCTCTGATACATGTATATATTAAAAAAAAAGAAAAAAAGAAAAAGAAAAAAAAATGGAAACAAAAAACCACAAACAAACAAACACAATCATCTACTACCAGAAACAGCCAAAGACAGACAATCCAACTGGCACACAAGACGGGAGAGTGCATAGTCTACTTACCCTGGCCCGGGGTAATAGTACGGAGGCGGTCTTTCGTATTCCGGGGAGAGGCTGGGCTGGCTGGAGTAGCGGGGGGGGCCGCCTCCTGGAGGGTAGTCTGCCCAGCTGTGTGCACACACGGATACGCAAACTGACACAACCATACCTACGTGTTTCCACTACTGCTACACTGGCTACACTGCTACCTCCTTGTGCCTCATGCGTTGTGGGGGCTTATATGTACAGGCGCTTCCAGATTTAAAGGAGCCAAAACATTCAATGGCACATCATTGTGAAGCAAAAATATACCTCAGATAATCAAGGCTTAAACATTGTTGTATTCATTGCAAGTAGTAGTAATAATGATTTTTTTTGTTTTTCTTGTTATTTTTTTGGCTACTTCATCTTTCATTGTTAATGATTTTGTTAGAGAAAGAGAAAAAAAAAAAACAGACTTCCAACTGATCTGAGGCAAAAAAAGGTGCAAGTGCGCATTTTAAACTGTTGAATCCACTGTGTTTCCTAATCCAACAACAGCCATGAACATCTCTGTGACCATTTAC